TCTGAACCTATGTTACATAAATTTATGTGCCTGAACCTACGTTACATAAATTTATGTGTCTGAACCTATGTTACAAAAATTTATGTAACCTCGACAAATTTTCCATAAATTATCTAATAGTGTTTGAGTATTTAGACAATAGATTAGCGGCAAATTTTGAATTTTGATATTCTTCCGCTGTTCCTGTTGGTAAAACTAAATGATGAAGAAGAGCTTGTAATATATTTTCTTCACACATTTGTGATTTGTGTCACCAAAGATATAGAAAAATAGTAATATACGACTTCAAATACGACAGGAAACCAAATTAGAGACCGTATAAAACGCAATCTTTACGATTACAGTTTGTTTCTTCCATACAAAGATATTATCGAGCTGACACTATTAGATTTTATCACTATGTTGCTATGTGACAGCACGTTTATATTCGACAACAAAGGTGCCGGCAGTCTTCTAAGCCGTGTAAACCCATGGATATTTGTCCGATTTATAGCGATTCTATTGTTCAGATTCATACTTTATTTAGGTAATTTATCGTATTTTTTTGCGAAAGTTTGAACTGCCGGGCATTTAATCAATTTTAGACCGCAAGCGGCAGTGTTAGCGAAAATATTCAAAGTGACATGAACCAAGTGCTCTGTATTCTATGCCAAGCGAATACAGACAATCCTTATTAGAAGTAGTCCAGACTACAAGAAGCGCTTAATTAGATGTACATAAAAAATAATGGAGCAACGAGCTCACGAACAGATATCATGCAACTCTCCTACGTTTTTAACATATCTGTCAATCATGTCCTGAGTTTCTTCAGTCTCTAGCTCTTCAGTCCTTTCCTCCTCATTGTTTGTCCCCGTGCAATCGTCCATCGTTAAATCATCATCTTCAGTTTCTTTTGTTTCAGCTGCTACGTGGGCTTTCCTCACGGTTTCTCGTAAGGCATCAGCTTCACATAAGCAAAGGCACTGCCGCTCTAGACTGGTTATTAAGGAGATGCTAGTTCCTAAAGCGAAAAAGAAATGAAGGAAATATATTCATGCGGTTACCTAAAATGAGTTATTAGATAATTTAATAAAGAAGTAGCAGCCGTCATATCAAAACAAACTATTGTTTTAGTGCTAGAGATCATGGTCGCTGAGATGGTGAAAGTAAGAACAACTAAATATTACACTAAATATCACAAATAATGGAAATTAATCGCAAATTAAGTTTCTATCGTTTTAGCTGATGTAACAAACCGTGACGTCATTTGAATTAGAGCAATTAGTACTAAATAACGCTAATTACACACACACACACAAGACAATGGATTTATAGTGAATTGCTATTTAGTTGTTGCGCCATCTCACAACCACAATGTTGGATTAATTACTACGCCTAGTTACCATTAGATGGTCTTGACAGATCCAGGACCCACTGACTTTCGTAGCTAAACAGCTGAACCATTTTTACCATTGCCTCGTTTTGATGGAATATGTTGGTCATATCCTCTCCTCGTACTAGATTTCCATCTAACACTTGGCCAAATCTTGACCATTGGCCAATAATCATTGGGGATACCACATTTTGAAGAAGTCCAGCACCTTTGAAAACGTGAAAAGGACTATGTCAGGGTTTCAATTGTTAGCTCTTGATAATATTCGCGAGTTATAGCTGACCTTATTTATACAGTTTATTGAGAGGAACAGAGCAGCAGCCTTTTGTGCAGAAATGTATTACTCATGACTGATTAAGATAGATTGATTTAAACTTACTTGTCGCTTTGATGTCTTCTTTTGCTATGTGATAGCCAACCTGGACACTGGACATTCGTTCCAAGGAACTGCGGATTCTAGTCACATCTGTGTCTTTGTATGGTGAAGTAACATGGAAGATTACATTGTAATAATCCATGTTACTCACGTTTAACGAGTGCAATGTAGTAATAAATCTCTTTAAAGAGAGGTCATCAACATCCTGCAACGAGTAAGAAATAAAAGTCAATTACCCAATTAATTCCCAGTATAACTCGTTCAATTTATACTGACCCCTGTTATAGTGACGATTGTAAGGGCAAACCCCTTAAACTCTGGTATGATCCTCGTGACCAAATCCTTACTGAGGCTCGAGAACCCACCAGCAACCATTGCCCCAACTACCCCATCGTTTTCGAAAAAGTGGACTCCACTTTCCCCCTCAGCCTGCAGTCGAAGTGCCGTTAACGTACTATTTTTATCTTGCTCGATCTCCACTGCTCGTCGAAAGAAGTTTTCCATTTCCTGTTAAAAGATGTGTACGTCATGTCAAAAAAGAAAAAGAAAAGAAAAGAAAGGGAAAGAAAAACCAAAAAACACAAATACTGTGGTTGTGAACGCGTGCTTTATGAGAGCACATTGCACGCATGCGCACTTTCCGTTGCGTCAATCCTATCTAAAATAACGATTATTTTAATTTGCATCTAATGCTTCTCTCGTGTTCTGCCAACCCACGCGTGCTTTATGACTGCATACAGCACGCGCGCGCGTTTTCTATTTCTTATTTAAAAACATTGTATACGTTATATGGACTTTGAAATTTTGTACAAATTGGTATTTACCAGTGGAATAGCCTTCCCCTTAAATTTGAGGGTGGAGAACTGGGCCAACTTATCCTCAGTTGCATGTCTTGGGAAACGTCGTTGCAGCTCGGCCCAAGAGCTTGATCCTGAATATCTCATGAAGGCCTCTGCTACCCTTTTCTTTTTTTTTATGGATTCGGCCATTCCTTTAAACTCCTCGAGAGTAATAGCCTTTGTCGACAACTTCTCAAGAAGAGCGCCCTTCGACTCTTCGTCTAACCCCTGCAGCGGCATTCCCAGCTGTAAAAAAAAACAGTATGAAAGTTAATTCTTCTTTTAATGGAGACACTTGCATTGAAAAGAAGGCACACTACGGGTATGAACGATCATTAAAGGCTTGGTAGTTCACATGCAAATGAGCAAAACCTATTGTTTGAAGTATGGTGTTTGACCCAGTTCTAATATCAGGCGTATTTTAGTCCGCGGCAAGAATAAATAGTTACTTGATAAATGTAATGAATACCAGTCTCCAGTCGCAGTGAGGTACTAACATAACTATTATGACCAATCAAATCAACTGTTTGTATCATATACCTGATTTTGCTTTAGTTCCAGCTTCCGCCTTCATGAGGGCTTACCCAGCGACATGCCTTTTAGCTCAGCTCTTTTGTAAAGAATATCCACTTGGACGAACAAGTCCCACACAGGCTTTGATAGGAGTGCAGCTTGTAACGTGGGCTCCAAACTGGCAACATCCTAGGATAACAAATTTAAATTTATCTTGAATTTTCCTAAAAAAATAATATTTATGGTTGTGATGATCACTGGGTAAAAACGATTGCAAATAATACCGACGAATGAGCAACTTTCATGATTTTTCTAGTTACCAAAATATAAATAGTGCGCATTTACCTATTTCGTTACTATGCCGATGTTATCGCCAAGGGGCGGGTGCGTTGTAAATACGGCAGAATAAAAATAATTACCGGTTTTGCACCAATACGTACCTTTTCTGCATTGACAAACATTGTTTGGCAGGATTTTCTCCACTCAAGTGAGGACTCTGGAGTTGGGTCTTCCTCGTAATTTTGATTGGCCATCGCATATGCCCACTTTCTGCAGGTTTGCACTCTTTCCACCCACTGTGTTTTCCTGCTTCCTTCGTCCATGAAGTTGTGGATGTGCGCAAGTCTCTTGATTTGTTCATCTGATAGTTTGTTGTCATAGACTGACACCCAAACTTTTTCAAGTTGCGCACTGATGATTGGATCATTCTGTTTCCTCAGCTAGTGTTATTTACATACAAGGAGGAAAGGAATAAAAAGGAAAAAAAGAGACATAAGAATCGATGGTATTCTCAATGTTCGTAACTATATGCATAAAATGGAACTAGGCCGAATGAGTATAAAAATATATATTATGGGACCCTTTCCGTAACTCTCTTCTATATAATTATCTATCAAAGACCGGAAGTGCACTTCCCCCGTCTTTACCCCTTAATGTTACAAGACACCGAAAACTGGTWTATGCCAACCTTCATGTATGCCGCATGACGATGACGTCCCCCAATGATTTGTATGGTGCARACCTTTAACAGGCCTTTCATCGCCTGGCCATCAATTAAATCCTCTTTACTAATATTGGCAATGGCAAGCCACGACTGCGTCTCGTTTTGAAGGGCAGACTTGTCTTTTATTTTGTCAACAAGGTYGTCCACTGCTTCGCTGTCAATTGGCCTATCCAGCCACGTTTCTGGGCAGTCCGAAAGTTGATCCAGTTTCAGTTTGTATTTTCCTAAAAGATAAATTCAGTCATCAAGTGCTAGTTAATAACGAGGTTAGGGATTTAACARTTCTGCTACTGACAACAGAATTTGCAATTTCGTTCGGGAACAATGAAAACGAGCACATAGTAGAAATTTACACTTGACAACCAATCTGTGACTTCCRCCCTTTTTGGATATTCAAAAATACATATAGTTTACTTTGAAAGTACAAATTTATAACTTGAGCATACCTAGATGATGAGCTGCAATCTCTTCATCAAGATTTTCGGCGCRACGTCTCTTTTTTGCAGGAGATATGAGGTCTTTTACCTCCCCTGGTTCCATGCTAGGCCCCTCCTTTACTGACCTCTTGACTGGTGGGGTTAATATCGCAGGCCCTTTAGGCTTTCCAACTGGTTTCACGGTATAACCAGCTTCTTTTTTCGTTAGTTGTTTGAATTTGTTCACAAACTCTTTGCTGTTTGAAGTCGAGTCTGCAAACAGTGCAGCAAATGGTGTCRCTTTACAATCAAAATTTTGTAATTTGAAATAAAATTTTGACTCGCCGGACACGGCCATAATATTTTCACAAGTTATCTGAAAGGAATAGCAAAAACAGTAATATATTCACACGCTAACAATACATGCGGGTATACATACTCGAAATGCATGAAAACGGGGGTAGCCATTTTAGTTTGTTTCTATTTAGCCGTAGTTTTTCCTCTCACGCAACGCTTGACCTCTTGGGTCAAATAGAGYTTGTTTGTCATCGGATAAAAGAAGTTGTTATTGAAGTTAATTTTAAGGATTTTTTTTACAGTAACCCCTGCATTAAGAAATAGAGAAAAAATTATGTTAAGAGCTCAAAATATAGGAATGGAAGTGCTGTGGTTGTCTCATATTTCATATTATACACAAATTGTGCATTTAGATCGTAGTGCGCAGTCCGGCTGGTCATGTTTACACTCTAACCGCGGTCACGTTGGATTGTCGGAATCATATTATGTTACAGATCAAAAATTCCTTACTTTCAACTGCCAAAATTAAGACTTGGATATTCATAATACATTCTTGAATTCAAATTGAAGTATTTTCGTTTCTTTGGTTATTTTTTTTTAGGATAATCTCAACATGTATAGCCAGAGAGTAGAATTCTATTGTTTATCATCATTTAAGTAGAATGTCAATATACTCGTTCATCCYGTGGGGCCGGTTTGGCGGTAAAAGCTCAAGAAATGATCACCAAGATATGYATAAAACTTATRTCACATGCGTCGATTAACTAAAACACGGGCAAGTCGTTGATGGAGTAATTTGATTTTCCTTTTGATTCGTAAAATGTCGCATTGCATAGCATTTCATTAATGATACTTTATTCTGAATTATTCAATCCGTAATTTTCCTTGGCCCGCAGTTGACGTTGTGGCAAGATTAGAGCGACGAGAAGTAYATATTATGAAGTTTAAGAAAATATCCTTCTACGTAGGATTAAAATCAACTTACCAACAGTACATCCTGGTCCTTTTGATTGCGACGTGGAGATTGTCGGATCTCCACGTTTACGACATTTTCAGTCAATTCCCYCGTAGTCGTTTTCAACYGGCTTTCGTTAATTTTGACGAAAATRCCATCCTCGTCCGTTTTCTTGAAATACCATGAGGCATTACCTTGATCTTCAATTTTAGTTGATGCAGGCATTTTATTCTAAAAGAAAATCCAATAGAGAAAGATAGCCGTGAGTATTACTTTAGCACAACTCATCGCAAACACTTGTGGCATTTCTTGTGGTATATATCATATAGCAATCCGATATAAGCATATCATATATTATACGTGAATTTAGAGTATGTAAAAGCTTAAGTTCACTTACTTTATACATGATATAACGATAAATCCAATAGAAGGCRATCGACAGAGAAGACACTTCCTTAGAGTTTGAAGGGCGGTAAGCAAAAGAAAGAATACGGGTCACTGGTCGAATGTCATGGACACTTTTGACAGCTTTTGAAATACTCCAGTCCATAGTTCACATAAGGGGCCCATTATTGCTACCCTGTGCAGCCGGCGGAAATTTCTCTTTTCCGGTCGCACGAAGGCTATTCAGTCAGGACTGAAGAATATTTTAAAATTTAATCATGCAGTCATTATGATTTTGGTTTCCGGTTTCCACCGCTTCATATGAGAACAACTTCGTCTTAGTCAGCGATTAAACAGTGCATACCAAAGACCCGTMACACTGACAATTTTCATAGTCTGACAGTTCAGTTTGGATATGTGACGACGTTTGGAAAAACGCGAACTGTTCCCTACAAAATATTGGAGAAATGAGTTCTGAAGAACACTCAGATGTGTTTTCAAGTACAAGTAGTGACAATGAGGATCCTTTCGAAGGATTTACTGTTAGAGATCAAAGATGTTTTCTCAAAGAAGSGGAGCGTGCAGCTTTATTCAGCTCAGTCTTAAGAAAGAAAACTTTACACCAGTCTTCGGAACATGAGCGACAATCTCAAGAAGAATATTTCATGCTAAGACAAACCRAGAATTCAAATGTTGCAGCAGAAATTGAATCCGAAATTGAAGGGGAAGATACAGATTTGGAATCATGGGATTGTCCAACATCATATGTCGCAGATACGAAAAACTTAGAGTGTATTGAGAGTGAATCYGAGCTGGAAGGGGAGGACGACAGCTCCATGTTTGAGTACTCTGATACCCATGGAACAGCTAATGAAGAAAAAAAAAACTCTTCGATTATCGAGGGGGAACTTTCATCGTGTTCTGATATTCATATGCATACCCAGGATGAGACACCGAATTCTAGTTCTTCTCAGTCTGACAACAATGCGCCTGCAACTGAATCTGAAACTGGAACTTATCTACAAGATATGAAAGTTAGTGACCAGGAGTTCAAGCTTCTTAAAAAAGCAAGAGGTAATTTATACATAAATATAAGTTAYGTATATTTATATTTTGCAGTCGACACTATCGAAATCACTGCCAATCAAACAAAATCGAATGTTGACTTCTCTAGCGTACCCTTTTTAGCAAAATAAAAAGCTTACCGAACAAAATCGAACCATTCAAATAGTTCAATTAGATGGTATTCGGTGGACCAATCAAACACCAATTGCACGAGTGGTGTTCGATTGTGGCTTATCTTATGTGTTCGCATTTGTGGCCTGTGATACGCCTTGAGTGTCAGAAAGCAAACATAATTTATTAMTTCTATCATTTGTGATCAAATCTTACCCGAGTGTTCCTCAATTTGAGTCGAAAGTCATTCCCTTTAGTACCATATAACTCTTTTGTTTGCATTTGATTCGGAAACAAGCATACCAGGCCACAGCCTGGTATGACACATTGACATATGACACATATGACACATGGATGACACATTTGCGTAAAAATTTTCTTGGGCCCTATTATTGCGGATCAAGCATTATTACTTACGCACACACTTTAAATAAACGATCTCTTCAAACTAATATGATTACCACAAAATTACAGCTAAGCGCAGAAGCAGTATCCAGGATCCAAAGCACATGACAGAAGAACGATGCTGCCCTGAAAATTGCATGAAAAAAATTGATAAAATCCAAACTGTCAAGGCGCRTGAAAACTTTAGAARGAAATGTCCAAGTTATCGCCACCAAAGAGAATTTATACTGGATTGGTTTGAATGTAACCAACCTTCTATAGGAKAATTTGCGTACTCTGTGTCAGGTATATCTACCTGCTATACAGCATGGATAAAGGTTCTTGGCATKCCCCGGTCAACATTTTTCAACTGGAAGCGCGACTTTTGCAACGGAAGAACCAAYGCAGAACATGGAGCRTCGCTGACGCTAAAACCTTGCGAAGTCTCTGAAGCAGCTATTTACTTTTTGCAAAAGTACTTCCAAGAGAACTGTGATTACTTGCCAACGGGTGATATATGGCATCTACCTTCTAGCTCCAGTAAGTCAGACATCTTTCAAGAAATGCAAGAAACTCTTCGATCTCAAGGTCAACGTTGTTGTTCCATGACATATTTCTTAAAGATTTGGAATCAGAATTTCCCACAAGTCAAAATTCCCAAGGTAATTCACGCTTAGTTTTTCATAAAAAAGTGACAGGCATAAAATTGTTGACAAACGAGAATTTGTCATAAGCGCAAGCCCGTGTAATGTCGAATCATGCGTTTTTGACTTTTCAGCAGGGACGTAGCGAGGGGGCACAAAGGGATAGCGGTCCCCTATAAAGTTTTAATAAATTTATTTAAAATAAAATGATTGCTTTTCAATAATAATTTTTATTTATTAGTAAAATAATTTATACGTAAGGCAAAAATTTAAACATTTTTGCATTTCCTTTTCGTAGGCAGATCGCTTCAGCAAGTGCGATACGTGTTGCAACAAAACACGAGATCTCAGGAACTTGAGAGACTACGACAGACCTGCAATCTATCAAAGAAGAATGGACCACAGACTGTTTGTACGGTAAGTAATAAAATAACTAAAGGAAAAAAACAACTCAGAAAACCATACTCTTACGGGTGGAGGCACATGGGAAAATGAAAACAGTCTCCAATTTAAACTCTACATCTACAGTAGCTTACAATTATGCCCCCTATCCCCCAAGAATGTTATCAACAAACAACTCTATCATACATTACAAATTTTTTAGGCGTGAAAGAAATGGCTATCAAAACAGAGCAGCTCTAGCGCACAGATCACCTCAAGAATACTTTTCAGTGGCCATTGATGGAATGGATCAGAACAAGACGGAACTTCCATTTTCAAAATRTCTCTTTAAAACCTTGGATAATGCGTGGAAACTGAAGGTTCACGTKGTAGGCTCTATGGTTCATGGTAGACATCCGTTATGCTTCTTAGACTATCATCAACACGCACATGATTCAAATTTGACCTGTAACATCCTACTCCAGGTAAGTATCATTATAATATAGCCAGGGGGATTCAGGATTTCAAAAAGAGAGGGTAGTAACTAGCTCCCAAAAACATCAATTGCCTAAAGATGATGTTACAACAGCAAGGCCATTACCTCAAATGGGAGGGGTGAAGACCACCTTAGGGTCCTGCGGGTATACCTTTTTTGAAGCGATGTGTGATTTACCGCGATCTTTTGCACATTTGGCAGTTTTGGGACGAGCTTACCGCGCGCCATGCATCATAAACAAATCGTTAAAACAACGAAGTAAACTGTGAGGATTCATACGATATGTAATCCAGCTGGTTTTCAGTAAATGAAGTAAATCAGCACCAAATAATAGTTTATTTGAATTTATATTCACCATCTCTGGAAGCTTGATATTCAATGAACGATCCCAAGTCCAAGAACGAATATTTCAAGCTTCCATAAACAAAAAACCCATGAGTGATCCTAGAAATTGCACGCGCTATCAGGAACTTTCAAATCCGCACGCACGAGCTAAACGTATGCGAAAAAACATCAAACATTTTAAGTCAGTGACAAAACTTTTTTTWAAAACACTCCTTTCTGCTTTTCATGTAAGTTTTTGTATTTCTCTTTAGACATTCTGGATACACAGAGATTATTTACCAAAGAAGGTGTTTATTCAGCTTGATAATACGTACAAGGAGAATAAGAACCAATATGTCATTGGGCTTATAGCGTACCTTATAGAGAAATCGGTTTTCGACGAGGCGAGTACTTTAGCTTACATTTCTTTTTTCATTAATTTGCTTGTTTATGGTTAGTTAAACGGAGTTATTTTATTTTATTATCTTATTAGCCCATGCTATGAGGCTTATCTCCTGTTTCGTTCTTCCATGAATGAAAGTCAACATGTGAGTTGAMTGTTGTGTACGATATAGACTTTAAACTACGTAGCGGYAGTATTATTGGTGCTGTTGTGTGTTCAGGAGCGACTAGGTATCTAAGCATTGTCATTATCGAAGTAATATTAGCGCTTTCGTTCATTTTCAAATTCAGGTCGAAATTGCATTCCTTCCTAAAGGTCATACCCACGTTGATGTGGATCAGCTCTTTTCTCGCCTCTCGGTTGCTATTGGTAAATCGGGATGCTTGACGTTTCAAGATCTTTTGAAGCTGCTAAGAAATTGCTATAAGCAGAACCAGGGAGACATGACCCAAGAAGGAGCAAGAATACAGTATGCCCAGATCGACCAGATCTTTGCAATAAGAGAATGGATCAAGCCCCACATGATGCCATTACATTCACTGAGAGAATACCATCACTACAAGTTTACAAGAAACGTGCAGGGAAAGTGTGAATTCGACTTCAAGCCATGGTGTGCTGGTACTGAACTATTACTGAACTCAATATTAGATAAAAACGGAGAAATCCTTGCCTATATAAACCGGTGCCGTTGTATGGAATATCATATTCAAACCGTTATTTTTTTCCTTCTATTTAAACAGGTGATTTCGATAGAAGGAAATGGAAGGAAWTGATTATTCTCAACAGTTTGCCAGAACGCTGCCCAGAACTTGTTGYGCCTGCGTATGCGGCAGTGGATCTCAGCCGAATTCGATCCATGGTCGATAGGTGTGTCGAAAATGGGGTAATGAATCAAGAGMCAGAGGGAACACAGTGGAATGAATTCCTTGCTTCCGAAGAAGAAAAACAAAAAGCCGTAGAAGGTGTAGAACAGACGGTATACAGTAGGGAAAACGGTAATTCGTCATTTTTATCTTTTTCAATCCATTTGTTCAAGCCAAACCTTAAGAAATGTTCTAATAGTGACAACTGGTTCTTTGGAGTTAATTGTTCCCAAGAGCTGTTAAGCCATCATGCTTTAATTGATTTTCATCAGGTAACCCTTCAAAGGTACACAAGCCAAGCCTGAGCTACCTGGCATGCAGCGAAGGAAGGTGGGTTATTCAAGACTTAGAGGCACGCACCCCTCCTAACATTGCCGAGMCCCCTCGTCTGAGTGACGTTCTGAAGAGGAGTGAACGCCTTGAGCGTGGCGAGGGCTTGCTTCCTGTAAGTATATTTGCACTCCTTCAAAAACAATCTTTTAGCAAAACTTCATTTATTTATTCGTTCATTCGTTTTTTCTTTTTCCTTTCCTTCTTCCTTTCTCCCCAGACTTTTTGCTGCGTTTTTGTT